GGTTAAGGTGACTTTTGGCAAAAGCAGAATCTGAAATTTGTGCCCTTCCTCCAAAGCTCTTCACCCGCTTGTTATTGTATGGTTGAAGAATCTGAGAACAGAACCTGGACACAAGCAACATGATGAACATGGCGTTTTTGTGCTTGTTGAGCGTGAAACAGAATCCCACGACTTCCATTTGCTTAAGAATATCTGATCTGTTGGTTTTAAAGGGAATGAATCTATCACTACTGGAAATGTGTTGATTTTTCTCTTAAGCAAATGGAAGGTGGCATGACCTTCCGAGTACCCTACTCTTCTGGCCAGGAATGGTCGTGAGCAGGTGGTACGCTGCTTAATGGAAGCCGGCGCTGACAAGGACCGGGCTGACAATGGCGGCCGCACTCCTTTGCACTGTGCTGCATGGTATGACCACTGCGCAGTTGTATCATCGGCAGATCAAAGGCTCACCTTTTGAACAGTTTGCCTTTTTGGTTTTCCTTCATGTCCCCATTTTAACTAGGTAACAACGAGTAAGCTTGTTCCAGAGTCCAAGTCAGGTATGTCGCTTGCTGGAAGCTGGCGCCAAGAGCAAGGCAGATCACTACGGACGAACGCCTTTGCATAGTGCTGCTGCAAATGGTCACCACAAAGTTTTGCAAAGCATGTTAGCAGCTGATGCAGGCAAGGACGAGATCGACAATGGCGGGCGCACACCTTTGTATTGTGCGGCCATGAATGGTCATGAAGAATCTGTTTCTTCCTTACTGCAAGCTGGTGCTGACATGAACAAAGCCGACAATGATGGAGGTGTGGCTTTGCATATTGCTTCCCTTGAAGGCCACAAGGATGTTGTGGTCCGCTTGCTTAAGGCAAGGGCGGACAAGGACGTGATCGAATGTAATGGGCACACGCCTTTGCATTTTGCTGCCGCAAATGGTCACGAGGCCGTTGCGCGGTGCTTGCTGGAAGCTGGTGCTGACAAGGACAAGGCAGACAATGATGGGGGCACTGCTCTGCAAATGGCAGCCTTCGATGGACAACACGGCGTTGTGAGTTGTCTACTTCAGGCTGGGTTGTTCAAAGGCAATCCTGTGTCCATGTTGTTTGTTTTTGGTCAGGTAACTAGGTCCCCCAGTAGTGCCCTTTTACCCTTTTTGGGGCAGGGTTCCCCTACTAAAATAGACTACAAAAAAAGGTTGGTACCCTTATTCTAAGCTCTCTACTGGAGGACCTAGGTAAGGAATCGGTGCTTTTCCCAGTCATTTCCTGTGCTGGAAAATGGCAGTGGTTGTGCAAACCGTTTCGGGATCCCATTTTGGTTCATAGGTGAACTCACCACCCATCTTAGAACCCATTTTTATGGTGCACCCATCTTAGAACCCATTCTAGTGTTTTTTGTTCTTCTTCTTTTCTTTTTTTTTTTCTTTTTTTTTTTTTTTTTTCGGATGTTCACTGGGGGCTAACCGATTTGGCTTTTGCCTTTGCCGCATGGCTTCTCTCGGCTCGGCCTCTCCCAGGCCGGAGCCGACAAGGACAAGGCGGGCAATGATGGGTGCGGGCCTCTGCACCATGCAGCGCGTCTAGGCGAAGGGGCGGTCCAACAGAACAATGTTGGGGCGGTTTGTTGGATACCCCCGGTACCACCCCAACCCTACTTAGATGGTCTGGGAGAAAACTCTAAGTGGGTAGTAACCCTGGTTGTAACCCACTTACAATGGTTGTAAGTCTCCTATGACCACGAACCATTTAGACAAGTCCAAGACCATCTAAGTAAACCCTAAACCCTAAACCCCAACCCTCCCCCCCCCAACTTCTTGTTGTTTATACCCATTTCCAATTGTTGGTCGTTCGGAACATCTGATTTGGTGTCGCAGAGTTGAGCAAAAGCTTCGTCACATCCTCGCATATTGCACTGCTGAGAGTCTAATCAGAGGAATGTTGGGAAAGAGGCTCCGGTTGTCCGATCTCAGGACAAGTCTCCAGACAGCATTTCGCTCCAAACACTTTGGCGTCCCCTGATCTAAACATTTGTGGGGGTGTCCCACATTGAGGACCCCTTCAAGGAAACCAAAGGCGAGAACCCCCAAAAGTGGAGTCCAATTCCTAATGGCTCTCTGTGGGTTTCAAATGAATCGCGTGTTTTCATTGTGTTCTTCTTTCGTATCTGGTTCAGTTTCACGGGGTTTCCCGCCGGTCGGTTGCGCCACTTTGTACTTCGGAAAACGACACATTGGACGCCTGTAACTCGGGTTCTGCCTTCGGGGCTCGCCTTTCTTTTTCTTTTTTTCCGTCTTGGGATTCGATGTGCAGATGGGTTCTGCGGAGTCTTTGGCTCCCTGTTAGGCCACCATGACATCGTGGCTTGGTTGCTGAAAGCCGGGGCCGACAAGAACAAGACCGACTCATTGCCAGAAAGGCTTACCATCTTTGGTGGTTGTTGTTTTTCCTTTCGGGGACCCGTTTTTTTTTTTTTTTAATGAAGGTGGTTTGTAGAAGGGCACCAGAACAACAGAACCACCCACATTGGGGTTACCCCCCCCCCCCAAAAAAAAAGAGAGGCATTTCGCAATGTTCGCAAAAGTGGGTTTTCCATCAGGTTCCGTTAAGAGCAAGAAGTTGTCACTTTCTGCAGGGGTCTAAGCATGGTTGTTGCTGGGGAACATTTTACATTTTGCTTATTGTGTTTTAGTGGCAAATCCCCACTTAACTGCTAGAATTTAAATTGTTGCTCCCCTTCCAACGTCAACCAAGTAAGTCTGGTCAAGGACTGTGACGGTCGCACACCGTTACTTTGGGCCGCAATGGCTGGGCGTGAGGAAGTTGTGCGGCGCTTGCTGGAAGCCAATGCTGACACCAGAGCTGATGGCGGCTTTGCCCAGTGACACACTTCTTTTTTTGGAAAGGAGTTCCTCACTTCCTGAGTTCACGGACTTTTAGTCACTTTTGGTGTTTGGACCATTTTAAGAGTTCGGACTTATTTTGCCAACCCACTGGAAGTTGATTTCGAGTCGTGGTGAGTGCTTATGGCAGCGTTTTAGCCTGGACACTAGTGTTTGGACTTATCCAGGGTGGACACTTGTCCAGTGTTTGGGCTTCCCACTAGGAAGTAGGTCGTTTATTAAACGAGGTGAATTTCCCTTCAACATCAACCCACAGGACAAGCTGCCGATTCTTTTCGCCATTGAGCTGAGGAGGTGGTTGCACCCCTCTTCACGTGTCTGCTATGAATGGCCACGAGGCTGTGGTGCGTTGCTTACTGAGAGGAGATGACATGAACAAGCCAGATAACGAACCATCGCCAGACCTAGGTCACCTTTTGCCCCCTTTAACTTTCCTTATTTTTCTGATGTGTAACCCAGACACCCGCTGTTTGCCGATGTCTTGCGCTTTTTGTTGCTTTCCTGTGTTTTGTCTTCTCAGCAAGCCTCCGGCTCGATCCGTCGGATCTGTTTGGCCAAGGATGGACGAACACCTTTGCAGCACGCTGCAGAGAGCGGTCACGATCGCATCGTGGCTTTGCTCGCAGATGACGCCACGCGAAACCGCGGATGAGGGGTCTGCGGCCTGAGGGTCTGAGGGCGTGCTTGTTGTCGTGGGTCATGGATGTGTGCCATGGCCCAAGAAGGGGTGGTCAGTGCCTAGGGACCCCAAAAATGAAATTTGGGCAGTCCCATTCTGGGAAAACTCACGTGAGTTTGGACCACGCACAAATTCTTTGAACGACCTCTTGGGCGCGTGTTTCTTTTGGGACACCCTCAAAATGGAGGCTTTCCTTTTGGTTCTCCTGTACAACCAACCAAAAAGCGGTGCCCTTAAAAGACACGCGCGCCCATGTTCAGGTGGCCGAATGGGGTCTGGTTGTGTCATGAAGATGTTGCAACCGCCCCGGGGCGCCCTTTGCGAAAGCAGCGGCACAGAGTGCCGCCAGTTCCCAACTCTCCAGGAGCAGTTTTCCGTGCTCAGGAGGGAATGTGGGAATGCGCCCAGGGATTCCGGGTCCATTCCATGCAACTCATTCCGTCCCTCTCTCGGAGCGGGCAGAAAAAAAAAAAAAACGCCTCAAGAGGGCCCGCGGCGGGAGGGAAGAAGTGTCTTTTGACGCCGGCCTACCAGGCTTCCATGTGCTGAAAAGAAGATGTGTTTTTTTTTTCCCTGTTGGTTTTAAAGGGAATCGATTTCACTTCTGGAAATAATTTGTATTTTTCCAGGGGGCTTAAGCAAATGGCAGCAGGGCACATTTGAGACATAGATCAGGGTGACCATATTGGGGGACACCATGGGTTTTCGTGAGCTTCGGCCACTTCCTCAAAATGGTAGCTGCAACAGTCTTTCTGGCGGATCGATCCCCGTTTGCAACAAGAAGGTGCGCAACAGGCACGGCGGTTTTTGCTTTGGGCGCTAGGCACTTTGCATTCTCGCATGTTTGGACTCCCAGAAAAGGACACGCTTTGCGTTGCTCCCGCCCGTTTTGAGACTATTACTTCTATCCCAAGAATCTAATAACCACAGGACCATCATGCTTGCATCAGGGAAGCCATTTGTTACCCATTGAACGGGTCAGGCCGAGCCGAGAAATGAAGCGACCGATCTCCAAATCCTATAGGCTTGGTACGCTTTCTTGGGCTGGGCAGCTTAGGCTCGATTTCGATGCCGCAATCATAACCCGGTTGAAGGTGAGCAAAGGACAGACCCGATCGACAGGTGCAAGGAGCGGTTGTGGTATGTTGTAATCCTGCGTCAGGCTGTACCGGGTTTGGCTTGCCGCTTGCTTTCCTGTGTCCCTTGTGCCATGTGGTTGTTTTCTTTGAGACACGTGTGCACAGGTGCGAAGAACCTTGACCTTGTTTGTGGTTGGGGATGGTCATGGAGCCCATGCTCATGGGGAGTCAGAGAAATGCGGCACATCTCTGGGATCTCCACTTCATATTTGTCCGGGACTGAACATGAGTCAGACTCTGAACATCCATTTTTGGGGAGTCCAGATCTCCATCGTCTTCAGAGCTTCCGGCCCTCCGCAGGCCGCGGACATGACCGCTTCGGTCCCAGTCGCATGGCTTCGGAGTCAGGAGACATACGAGGAGGACAGGTGGCCAATGTTGGGTTGTTTTGGTTTACCAAATCGCTGGGGATTCAACGGGTTCGGTCTTGTTTCATAGGGCGTTTATGAGAGGTCCAATTTGTTGTTGTCAAGAATCGATGGCGATCCCTGGTTGACCTAGTTGGTTCATGACTCACAGGAGCATCCCGAATGGGCATGGTTTTTTTTCTCCAGGAGAGCCCCAAAATGGCTTCGGTTTTCCGGATGATTTCCCTTGAACACCAAGAAATGGGTACCCTAAGGCATAGGCACACCCAAACAGATTGGTTCCAGACACTGTTTGCAGAGAATATGTGTCCAGATGTTTGCAACTGGAGGATCCAACGTGGAAAAGGAGGTACGGCTAGAAGGAAAGTCCGTGTTTTCTGCACACAGACCTTCCGCCTCAAGGCCTTGGCAACTCTTTGCTTGGAACAACCACCTGCAGGGAAAAAGGGCTTGAGCTAGTCATGCAGTGATTTTGGTGGATTTGCCTGGTGTTGGGCACATCAACTTGGAGGAATTTTTAAAACAATGTTTCGCACCTGGACTCTTCCAATTGGGTTCAGAGCAATAATTGGACCAGTACTGTGGAACTTGGCGAAGGTGTTTACGCCTTCCTGAAATCAGATTCTATTGCTGAGCTCTGCTTGGATGTTCGATTCGCACAGTTAGTGTTATGACCCACTCATCTCCACTTCGGGGAGCCTATAAGTGGGTTTTCACCCAGGTTCCTGACAACTTACAAGTTAGGCGAGCACCCAAGCACGTATTGGTGCGGAGGTGGTCCAAAACAGCCCTGCTTCGAGGCGATGGATTCCCTCAGGACCAAATCCTGCAGTTGGTGCCTGGTTTATCCAAGTCATGCTGTGGATGGACGACATCCTACACCGCCAAGACACCCTACAACGATGATTCCCCCTGTAAATACGAACAAGCAATGGTTTCTCATGGTTCCAAGATGGTTAAGGTTTCATCCCAGATTCCATGGCCTAAGTCACACCGAAGGCTTCGATCTTTTGACAAAAATGTGCTTTCTCGCCAATGTTCGCTGGTTGGCATTTGTATTTTTGACTCGGGGCTTGTGGTTGGTACCCTTTTTCAGTTTTGGGTGTGCTGAGTAAGTTTGGATTTATTTTATTTTTTTTAGTTCTTTTGTAATTGTCACACTTCGATCAGTCATGAGGTTTCACTTGGTCTTCGTTGACCGGGTCAGGTTCAGGCGCAAATATTTCGGGAGTCCCGGCTCTCACTGCCACAGGTAACCCCCCGAATTGGTGGTTTGGATTGGTGGTTTGGAGATTTGAACACTTTCTTGCTGGGTAAATGCCACCAAAGCACCAAGCCACCAAACCACCAAACCTGCAAATTACCACACCACCACACCACCAACCACCATTCAGTGGGAAGCTGTGCTTAGGCACACACCTCTCCGATGGCCGCGCACTCCAATCGAGCGCCGCTGCCTCCGGTGGCTGCGCATGAGGCAGGACTGTTGGCCAAATCCGAGAGCCAGCTGGATGATGGATGGTAGCTCCCTGAGTCCCGAAACTCGGACTTTCGGGGCTTTTTTGGGGTTTGGGCCGGATTTGAGTGGCAAAGAATTGCTAGGAGGCTGAAGAACTTCCCCCCCTGGGTTCCGTTGCTCGGACCTTCGTCACCTTTTTCGGGGCTCGGGGTCGTGGCAAAGAAAAAGGGTAGACCTTGTCTGGCCCCACTCAGGAAGTGAGGAATAACCACTCACATCATGTCCCCACTTTCTATGCTACCCCCAAACCCACGTTCTAATTCTTTCGCCCCTTTCGGCCTGGCCAGAGGTTCATCCAGGCCGAAAGGCGCAAGATGCGTTTTTGTTTGTTGGGTTAAAGGAGTTCCCTTGGAGCGGGATTGTGGGATCACTCGGGGTTTAGCCAACCACTTCTGTGATACTTTTGGGAATCTCCCCCTTTATACGGGGGGGGGGGGTAGTCTTTGTGAAGGCCTTTTGTATCACAGAAGTGGATTCCCTTTCCCACGTCCCTGCCTTGGAGCAATGGGGATAGATGTGGAGTGCCTTGGAACCCCACTCCATGTTCAACAGCGCAGTTTAAAAGAGTCCCTCAGTCTGAAGGCCAGGCCGGGCACCTGGATCTTGCACCGGGCCTTTACTCCTAAGAACCCCCTCAGTGGACACACTGTTTGGGGAAAAAATGCATGGTTGTTGTTGGGAAACATTTAAGACATTTTTGCTTATTGTGGTTTAGTGGGAAATCCCCACTTAACTGCTAAACAATATTGTATTGCTCCCCTTCCAACGTCAACCAAGTTTGCGTCAACAATCTTAAGACATATTTCAGGGTAGACCACATGTTTGGGTGTGCCCCCATTTTTCCGCGCAGCCCATTTGGGGGTTACCCAAAGTTTGACCCACACCCATCCGAAATCGAATCTGAGCCTCTTGTTTTTTTGTGCTGCAGGGTCGATGGGACGTAGGCTGGAGGAAGGGATGGAATGAGCCGTTTGGGGTGGTCGTCAAGGAAACCATAAGGGGATGGTTAAGAGGGGGCTCTCCCTCATTTCCTACACTTGCTGACCAGCAAGTGTTTTTTTTTGCCCATGAGAGCCATTTTCAAGTATTTAGGGTCTGTTCGCAGCTAAGGAATTGTTTGGTTTGCCCATGGCTACTCTGTGCCATCCCACGCTGGTCCAGTCCGAAGTTGTAAAATTGAGTGCTGCCGGGACTTTTTCTGCTATCTGCTAGCAAGGGATCACCGAACCGCCAAGTTCTGGCTTCATGACTTTACCATGATCAAAGTCACCCCCCAAGTGGTGGGTTAAAGGGACATGAGTGTTTTTTTCTGACCTGGATAAGCCCCAGCCGTCAAAACCATGACCCCAGTCTTAAGACATCCATGCAAGCTTTCCAGGGAAAGCCAGTCTACCTCATTACATGCCCGCCCAGGATACCTCCCCACAGCTCACCCCCCAGAAGTTTCGAAGGATCCGAGCGAGCCACCCCTTGGTACCCCGCGAGCGAGCGAGGCGCCGGCGGGCGGTTGGCTGGCCGCCTCCCAGCGAGCCGAAAGGTTCCCGGAGGCCGGGAAATCTCGCTCGAGCGCTTGGGCCGTGTGCTTCCGTTTGCGTTAGCGTTGGTCTCCGCTGTTGCTCTGGCCCTGCCAAGAGGAAAGGGGGGTGGCGCAGCTAGTTTGGGGGCTTCCATTTGCAGTAGAATTTTGGGGGAAATACGGTGGATGGAAAACGCGAAATCCATTTCGCACCACTTGGAAACCATGGTTGAAACCAGAACGTTTGTTGGTATGTACAGGGGAATCATCAGACACCAGGGCTTCTTGGGTGGTGCAGGATTTCGTCCATCCACAGTATGTCTTTTTGCCAGGGACTGAAGCAAATGGAAGTAGACGGTGTCGGGGGCGAACTGGTCAGGATGTGAAGCGTCGACTTCAAGGTTGACATGAGCCACAATCAAAACCCGGGTAGATGAAGGTTAGTAATAAGTGATAATCCCAAGAATAAATGGCTGCAGCTGCCTTCTTAATTCTTGCACTGAGTAGCTCAAATGCCGACTCTTTTATGAGTGCTTTTCCTTCTAGACCCCAACCAAGCATAGGTTGCTCTCGTTTTAGTTGCTTAAGCACTGTGAGTTAACCATGGTGTTTCCCTCCTCGGACAACCCTCGTGGCGATTCTTGAGTGATTTTTGCAACGGTCGGCTACGTGGTTGGCTCACAATGAGCGGAACCAAAGAAGCAACCGACAGCGAGGAAGCTTCTGTTGGCAGCACACTTGGACCTTATGAGTCCTATATGGAATGATATGGGCCCCACGATAGATTCCTTTTGGGGTCCCTTTAATCTTTAATGTAAAATCACCCCAAAAAGGGGTTGTTTAGCTCAATGCTTCTGGAGCCACGCTCGAAGATTGCAGGTTGTATTCGGGTAACATCGATATCTCACTTTCGGAATTTCTGCTTGCGCCCTCCAGCAGTCATTGTTTTTGAAACTGGGGTCCAGAAAGGACTTCATATCTTCAGGCTGCGTGCATGATTTGAAGATACCCTTCCAATGGGGCCTGCTCCTTCCTTCCCCCCCTCATGGAACAGACACTGCGCGCATCGCAAGGTCCCGCTCCCACGACGAAGTTGGTTGACGGAATCTGTTTTTCATATGGCTGCGGGTCACAAATAGGCACCCCAAATGGAACCCTTCTAGGTGGGAACATGGTTCAATTGTTTGACCACACCATGATACTGTGGATGGACGAAATCCTGCACCACCCAGGAAACCCTGGTGTCTGAGGTTTCCCCTGTAAATACCAACAAACGTTATGGTTTCTTTGGTTTCCAAGTGGTGCGAACGGATTTCGCAACCATCCACATCATGATACGCATGTAAGTAATGAACAGGACAAAATGTCCAAACCGATTTTTTGTGATTCCTACTGTGGATGGACGAAATCCTGAACCACCTATTTTTTGGGGTGCACCCCAAAGATCTAGGCTAAGACATTCCAGAGATTGATTCGCCTTGCGGCACAGGAGCCAAGTGTTCCGAGCGTCCACCAGGCGGGCGTGGTTCTAGAAAGCGGTTTGGCTAGGTCCCCCAGCAATTGGTGCCCTTTCTCACCAACTTTGTTTTGGTTGGGAGGGTTCCCCTACTTAAAGAGACTACAGAAAAAAGTTGGGACCCTTATTCAACCTCTCTACTGGAGGACTTAGGTACCAAAAGATTACAAAACAGTAACAACAGGGGGAAGAGCAGGTGAAAAATCCACAACAGGCGCATCCATAGCCGTTTTCTAGAGTAGTCGGAAACTGGGGAAGCTCAGGGCAACATTGAAACGTGGCTGGAAATATTTGGGATGGGCGAAGCTTGGACTTCGTTTGTTTATAGGCAAAGGGGCAAAGGGGCAAAGGGATGAAAAACACAAACCAAAAACAACAAAAGCTCCACTTGCTTAATAATTTGTTTTATGTTGCCCTCTTCGTTTTAAAAGAGAATCTATCAGTACTGGACAAACATCTATATTTTTTCCAGGGGTCTTAGCCAAATAGAAGAAAGGAATGTGGCCAGGCCCTAGCACAGGAATCTGGCCCTGCTATCCCCAGCCAGGTTCGGGGTCTCGTCCATTTGTCCAGAAAGCTGAAAGCTATAGCTGGGGTTCCAACTTCAAGCACTTCAAGCAAAGAACAGGGGGACAAAGAGAAACTGTTGGGGTGCAGGGTGCTGTTGGCCGGTGAGCTTGACATAGGCAGGAGCCTTTAGAATGCCGTGGCGTCATTCGCTTGCGGTTGGAAGGGTCCAGCGGTTTTCGGGAGATCGAAACTTCTGCGGCGAAGGATCGAATCGAAACCGGTGGCAAGGCACTCCGCTCGCTCGATCTCGAAAATACACCCGTTCCCTCCTCCGCTATCGTAGCGCACTCCCGGACTCTGGGACCCATGCTGGTGTCTAGATGTTGGGGTAGACCAAAAAGCGGAAGATCTGAGACTAGTTATGTTGGCGCATCCCAGAGAGTTGGGCCGTGCCAAGCCTCTGGCCGTGCCAAGCCATGTGCGCAATGAGGCTGTCCGCGCAGGTGTTCAGGTTTTTAGGGTTTAGTGGGGGGGATCCATTTGTCGCACTTCAAGTTAAGCTCTAGGTCCCCCAGCAATTGGTGCCCTTTCTCACCGTTTCTTTTTTGGTCGGGAGGGTTCCCCTAGAATAGACCACAGACAAAAATCGGGTACCAACTTCTTCTCACCTCTCTACAGGACCTAGTCTTAGCGGGGGATCTGAAAACGGGCAGCCCAGCTCCCCTTTGTGTGCCACTCGCCAGCCGGCCGCGCCTCCGCCTGGCTTCGCAACCACGAGGGCGCCCTTCCCGGCACTCCATGAGGCGCACGCGGGGGCCGGGGGGTTACGAGGAACGAGGCGTCGCCGCTGATGCCTAGGTCCCCCAGCAATTGGTGCCCTTTCTCGCCAGCTTTTTGGTTGGGAGGGTTCCCCTACTAAGGAAGACTACAGAAAAAGTTGGTGCCCTTATTCTAACCTCTCTACTCGAGGACCTAGATGCGATACCGGGGTTTGTATTTTTTCCGGTTTCGAACGGAGAAATCGTGGAAGCCATGCCATGGTCTTTTTTGTTGAAAGAGGCAGTATCGGGGCCTTTTTGTTGAATGATTCAGGGAGAAATGAAAAGGCAGGGGCCAAGCTTGACGTTTCGGCCCAAACTTGAAGCTACAAATTCCGAGCGGGTGTTTGCTATGGAGCTGCGGAACATCTACGCCACTCATGGTATATACGGCTTGCTTTATGATGTTGCCCTTTTGGCTGTTTACCGCCCGAACAGCCTCCGGTTGGAGAAGGTTGTCTTGACCTTCTTCATGACACTGTTCTTGCACGGTTCTCTTTTGGTTCTTTCGACCTAATATGTAGCCAATTTACAGTCCTTTTATTGTTGAGGTGATGTCTTGGAAGAAATGCAGGGAATCTTGAGAGCGGGTGTTGCCTGCCAACTGGGGTGTTTCCACATGTCCCTGTGAAAACAAAAAGAAGAGTATCAGTGGCGAATCGGTCAACTTGGCAGAGACACGGGGAACTCACCACACTTTCCAGGCAAGCGCCAAAGATTCCATCACAGGGCAATCACAGGGCTGCAGTCTCCATCACAGCGGTGCCTTTAGGGCCAGCCCAGTGCCGCCTTGTACGGAGCTTCTCCTGGCAAACAAACCGGTGCTTGGGAAGGTTTTGGTCAGATGTCAGGGGTTTGAAGCCCACAAGGCCAACTGCGTGACCTAGTTCTAAATGACCCTGTTGGTAGTATAACACTGTGTGTGTCTAAAGGGGCCCAAGACGAGTGGTTTTCCATTTGAAACTACCCCAAAAGATCGTGGCGTCACGCAAAACCAGGCCAATTTGCACATGTACCTTCCGCTAAGAGTTCCTAAAAATTATCCGGCTTCACCTTTTGAAAGGTTTTTCACTCGCGCTGGGCTCCCAACAGACGGCGCCCCCATCTCCCCCCCATCCCCCGTGTGGACACTTGGGGTCTATTTTGCAAGCTCCTTCTTTTAGGGTATCGGTTTATTAGGGTTCATGGTTGCAAAATCCCCCCCCCCCCCCGCCGAGAGCTTCCCGCAGGAGCCGAGGCCCACCTTGGCCTCGTTGCGGGAGGAGGCGGGCGACGCGTTGGGCGAAGAGGAGTTGAAGGACCGGCGCGAGCGACCGGCGCGAGCGACCGGCGGGCGGGGGGAGCGAGCGGCAAAGAACGGGTCCCAGCGCCCCCCATTGCCTCAGAACCGCGACTCAGGTTGGCTGGGAACCAAAAGGAAAAGCTGCCTCAGAGAACCGCCACCCCCAAAAAACGGTCCAAAGCAAGAAGCTTTTGAGGAGCCCAAGAAATCCGTGCAAAAGGCGGGAGAGGGGTGGTTTCTCTCACTTGTCCAGCATGAATTTGGGACAACGGGTTCTTTCATTGTGGGGGTGAGGGGATGGTGAATTTGTATTCGTCAGTGCTTCAAGAATCGTATGTCAAGTCTCCTGAAGCTTTTAAGCCTGGGAACCAGGGGCCCTTGAGCGATTCCCAAGTTTTTCGCAACACGGTTTCTCTAAATGGGACAGTTTCCAGGTGGTTGTCACCTCAGAGGTAAAGCAGTCATGTGTTTATCACCGAGGTCCGGGTGGGTGGTGGGTGGGTGGGTGGGTGTGGTTATTGACCTGAGGGGTGTAGGGAACATTTCCACCCGGAAACAATCATGGAAAGTTGCAGGCGGGCCTGTTTCCCATTTTTCGACGGGTCACACACCAAGGTGTTTCATAGCTGTTGGCAAGTTTTTCGTTTTTGTTGGTCGTGTTCATTTTAGCGGCCGGGGTGGCAAAAAAACATCACCCATGTATGTTACCCGGACGCTCATAAATATTAAGTCCCTCGCTGCGATGGCCCGTGAGTTTCCTGTCAAGATCCCCGTCAGTGACTCACTCCCTGCATCTCTTTTCGCCATGCGACGTCCCATCCTGGCGCTTTGCCTCGTGGTGATGGCGGCTTTGAGGCTTGGCGCTAGAGCCATATGGTTTCGACCTTCACATGGGCGTGGCTTCTTTTTAGAGGATACTCTTTTGGGATGATGTGATGTGGTCCTACGGCATTTCTCATGATTTGGGCAAGAGGCCTTTCAGTAAGGGTGGTTGATCACGTTGCCCATTTGGGATGTGGGGCTTGGTTTACAGGGAAGCCAAAATGGAGAACCAACATTTTGGAGGTCCCCTATTTTGACACACATACCCCGATGCGTAGAGTTTTGAGGGGTTCATTGATCCCGCAAGAAAGCAAATGCTCACGTATGGATCAAACCAAGGATGCTACCCAGCAGGCTGGCAGCGGTGCCTTACTTCTTGCCGCACATCATGCATCTCGGACAGATGGCCGATTCCTTTGCCAAACCTGTGCCGGCCCGGCGTCTAACATGGTCGGGTGGGTTTCCTTTCACAAACCAACAAAAAAAAGGTGTCCCTCTTGTCCCCCAAAACTTGCACAAGCGATTCCTTTTGGGCCGCATGTCCATCTGGTTTTTTAGTTTCTTGCAAGTGTTCCCCATGTTGGCAAGCATTGTTGGTGGTTCCAATTGTCCTTCCATTTCTGCGTTTGTTTTTTCTTCCGCATGTTCGGGCTTCAATCTACAGAGCACGTTTATATTTACACATATACATATATGTATAGGGGAAAATGACAGGAATCGAATTAGTTCAAGAGTCGTTCGGGATACCGCCCTCCAGAGCGGCCGTTGCGTTCGGAACTCCTTTTCCTTTCACCTTACAGGTTGGACGGAGCTTGGTCCCTTCAAAATTGGGGCCGTGCCAATTTTAGTTAGGATTCGGAGCCCCCAAAATGGGCAGGGTGCCAGAAAAAAAATAAAAGAATTCTGTGGGTACCCTCAAAATCTGAAGCCGTCCACAAATCTGACCCTGTGGTTTCTTTTCTCTTGGTCCAAGTTGTGTTTTAGGCCTGGCCTTCAAAAGGTGAACCGTTGATTTCTGGGTCCGAACCGGGCGACTGAGAAATTCGGTTCGCCCAAAGTAAGCCGAAGGTCTCCTTGGGTTTCCCTCGATCACCCGGCATCACCCGGATCCGCCGGGCCTCGGTTTCGCGGGGTTTTCCAAATCCAGCAGCTGACTCAGCGAGGAATTTGGTCTCTGCCCAAAAGGCTCTGGGGTGATTTGGGGCGGGGATATCACCTGGGCAGTTTTGAGGGGTTTGAAATTTCCCTTGCAGAACCATCAACAAACACAGGGTGTCAAAAACACATCCATCCGCTGGGGCAATGGGGGGGGGGGGGCGGGTCCCAATTCCGTGTTTCCAGTCTTCCACCAAACCCAACAGGGCGCCCCTTTCAATTCCCTTGTTCCTTCCTTGTTCGGGCAGGGCTCTCAACCAACAAAAAACAAATGACAAGGGAGAAAAGAAACAAACAAATGCCCTTCTTTCTTTCTTTGTGAGGGACAAAAACTGGATGCCCCTTTTTTTCCCCCCTCAAAACGGGTTGCCTCTGTCGACCCTTACCTGTGCCCCTTTTCGGATCCCACTTCGAACGCCGAAGGCAAGACCTGGCAGAGGAAGAGACGGACCAATGGACAGAGGACGTCAAGGCGAATCATGCGGCCCCTTGGCCTTAGCAAGGCGCCTTTAAAAGCTGTGTGTGTTTTTTTCACGCAGGGAGTCCAAGCTGCCTCTCTTCTTTGTTTTAAAACAAATGATTAGTTACTATGATTGTTGTTATGATTGGAATGTGGGTTTTCTTTGTATACAAGGTTTAGATGGGTGCAACTTCTATATATAAACCTAGTATAGTTATGTTTGTAAGTGGGTGTGTCCTTTTTCTAGGGCAGACTGTTGGGTTTTATTTGTTGTGCAGGTTCTTCTTGTTGTTTGCTTGCTTTCCCTTTGTGTTTCTTTGTTGGGAATCACCGGTAAGGCCTTGCACTACATCGTTCCTGACGAGCTCGGGAAACACCACGAGATGCTGCCTTGCCAGATAGGGTTGGGGATCAAAGGCTTTTCGTGCTACAAAGCAATCAACATATTTAGCCATACTACCACCAACAAACATGGAAGCGTAATCACTTTTTTAGAAGATGATGTTCCTCTTGTCTTTGTGCTTCCATGTTTGGTTGTATATGAGGTATCCTGCTGTTGTTTTGTTTCATCCTGCGCAGAAAATGGGTGTGCCTTATTTCGAGGGGACCCTTTCAATTTTGGTTAAAGGGACACCAAAAGGAAAACCAGCATGCTGGGGGTCACCAATAGGACACAAACCCAAATGGCCATCTATCCGACCCGCAAAATGGTGTATATATGTACATATGTATGTTAACCTTCTAATTTCCCTTCAAACCACCCCCAAACGGGTAGGAAACCCCAAGAAACACATACACCCGAAGTAGAAAGCGTGACGGCGACGACGACGACGACGAAGACAACAACAACTACAACTACAACTGCAACTGCAACTACAACTACAACTACAACAACTGCAACTAGTACAACAATGCCAACAGCAACAGCAACAGCAACAGCAACAGCAACAGCAACAGCAGCAGCAACAGCACCAGCAGCAGCAGCAGCAGCAGCAGCAGCAGCAGCAGCAGCAGCAGCAGCAGCAGCAGCAGCAGCAACAGCAACAGCAACAGCAACAGCAACACCCTAGAAGATCTGCGACCTTGCGAATCCTTCCTTTGAAGTGCAGGGGGGTTGACCCGCCTCGGTATCACAGCGAAGGTCAAGAAAAAGTCCAAGCCGTCAAGTCGAGGCTTAGAGAAAGTCAAGTCGGACCAGTCCCTCACTTTGAGGATTTCGAAGATGTTTCAAGTCCCTAGTAGCCCCGTGTCTCCTCCCTCAGTGTTCGAGTCGCGTCTCTTGCGAAACGGGTTTTCGTCCAAGGCTGGCGGGCACTGAGTCCAACTACGATGAGATCTTGGAGCACGCTGAGGATGTGCTGCGAAGAACCAGGGTGACTCGGTCCTGAACGGAGTTCCGCCTCTCTCTTTCTTTTTGTTTGCTCCAGACAAGTTGCACCTTATGTCCTCCTGGAAGCTTTAGGGTTAATAGGCCGAGAAATCGGCTCCTTTGCGCGGTTTGGGGCAGATCGCTGGGTTCGGGAAGGGTGCAAAGTTGGGGACATCACCGGGGTATATTCTTGTTTGGGCGGGTTTCCCTGAGGCCGGGTTGCCTTTGGAGATTTTGGCTTTGGCGGAAGTCCCCGGTCAGTCTTCCAAATGCCTTTTATCTTGGATTTGCATTGGCAGGTGCCCTGGGTTTTTCTGTCTCCTTTCCGGCGTGCTCCTTTTGGAGATATTTCATTTTTGTGCAACCCCTAATGTCCTTTTAGTTGCAAGCCCCCAAAACAACACATCGAAGTGCCACGCGTTGCTCCTGAAACCAACCCTTCGCACTCGAGGAATCTCCTTTTGAGAAAACTCCCGGCAGGGGGACGTTTTTCCCCCTGCAAATGGGCGGTGCTTTCAATTTTGGAGTCGGAACTCTTTCCCAGCATAAATGGGAACCAAGCCCTCCAATCTAGGCTTGGACCAAGTGGGTTTCTTGGGGTGGGCGAAAAACATTGGGCGGTTCTTTCGGTTGGGGAGTCGGGCCTCGGTCGACTAAGGAGAGGACGCAGGACGTCGGACCACTTGGATCGCAGCACTTGAGACACCAGCCGGCGCTTTCCGCAGCGCGCTTCGGCGTGTGTTGGGCGTGGTTTTTCCCCCCTGTCTCACCCGCCCCCCCCCCCCCCCGAAATGGCTCTCGAAATTTGTGGAACCTCGTTTTGGTTTGTGGTAAAGCCAAAAGGACCACTTGTTTGGAGTCTAATTTGGAGACTCCTATCGGATGGCCATAGACTGAAAAAGGGAGTTTAGACATAAGTACTCACGCACACCCCGGTTCAGTCAAAGTAGGGCACAAACAAAACGTGGCTTTCCTTTTGGCCTCCTGTTGAACCAACCCCAAAAAAGGGCCCCCCAAACAAACGCAGCCCCCAAAAAGGCCAAGGATCCTCTCAAGACGCCCGGATCGATGTGGAGTCCAAACCAGCCCCTTGATTTCCTCCAAACATTGCCAGACTTGGCTGGATTTCGTCCCGTGTTTGTTCGGCTCATAGCCCGGCCAAGGGCCATTTTGAAGGAAGTTGGAGCCTTCTGCTGGTTGAGTTCCCAGAAAAGGCGGGGGAGTTTCTCGTTGCCCCCGGGAGTGCGGAGCAAGGGAAGCCAGCTGGATCGACTCACACCCAGAGTTGGACGTTGAGCGCTCTGGGAAGACCCTTCTAGCGGTAAAGCCAGCGATTTGGACTCGGTTTTGGCAATCCCACTCAGGAAGTGAGCTCGCCAAGATGATTCCAAGGGGTGATTCCTTGTCCATTCTTTTCAACCATCGTGCTTTCCAAAAAGCGGAGCCGTTTTCCCTGGGTTCCCGGAGGTTTTCTAGAAGGAAGGATCCCTGGGTTCAGAATGGGGAAGGTACCCCTAGAATGATGTCTTTCTTTCTTGGCGATCTGCTGTGGGGACAAAAAAGCGAGCCCTGACTGCATAGCTTATCCAATTGATCAGGGGCTGTTCCCTGGTTTGGTGACATCAATGATGCTTGGGAAGATTGGTTTTAGGTCTGATCTTGGAACTTTTCAGGCAGAGGACCAGGGTTCGTTCTTTGGGTGTCGATGTTCAGCGTGAATTAATTGCTTCACCCTGTGATGGAAAACTGTACTGTCCAGCGTCTCTTTCCTTTAAAACCCTGTTTGGCCACCGGCCCATACGTGTGGTGCCGTCAGAACCAGGAGTGCCATGTGGATTTCGTTTTGCTGTAAGGCAAGTCCAGACGTTTGAGAAGACGCACGGCCCTCTTCTTCGCAAGTGAGTGACCCTTATAGACACGTATCTGCACAGAGAAGCAAAGAAGCACAGAAGCAGACTGGGAAGGGAGGGATGGGGAAAGGCTTGGGAAACGGAAGACTGGGACCGCTATCTGGGATCTGGCCTTTTCATCCCCGCTCCTACCCAATTCTCGCTTCTTTGCTTGCCGAACGCTGGGTCAGATTTGGAGCTTCTGGAAGATGGGCCTTGCCCCCTTCATCCGCATTCGCGTTTCAATCATGCGGTTGCCGGTTTTCCAGGAGGATCCAACCATGTACAGAAATCTGCGATTGAGATTCGAGGGGGGATGCCAGCATCCTCTTGCCTCCCCATGCGAAGACTTCCTGCATTTGAAGGCGGGCAATTTCTCGGTCCAATCTGCATGTACAGCTCGCACGAAAAACACGTGCGTTTGAAGTCGGGCAGGTCCACACGTGCCCTTCCGCGCGCACAGAGCGCGGAGTCAGACGCTTTGAACCAAAAGCCAAGTGGCAGCCGGTGGCGGCATCCTTCTGCTTTCTTGGTGGTTCCCAGCCATCCCTGGACGGCTTTTTCGCTTGTTTCTGTTGAGTGCTTGGATGTCCACTTCACCAAGGTCAACTTCTAGCGCGGGATCAGTTTCCACGGACGGCTCTGTTTCCTGGGGGAGAGCATCATGGTTTGCAGAGGGGCTTGCTTTGAACATGTCGCGCTTGCGTGAAACACATGCAGGGGTCCCCTGTTGTTTCCCCGGAAAAGAAAAACAGCTCGCATCCAAAGGAAGGTGGGTGAACCCAGGGTGTCCACTTCTTTGTATAACAAATAAAGGGGGCACCCCCCGTAGAACAACAAGAGGAAAGCGCTGAAGGCTTGCCTACAGTGGCGAAACGCCCGGGAGGCACTTGGTAATCCGTCCCTTTGCAAAAAGGTTTGGTCCAAGGCGCATTGGCTTTTTGGAGAATCGGATTGGAAACGCAACCCCCAAAAAGAAGATGGCATCCAATCAGCAAGTTACACAAAACGTCCATTTGCATCAGAATATGTCTTATTTCCCCTGTTGGCTTTAAAGGGAATCTATCACTGCCGGAAATATGTGTATTTTTGCCAGGAGTCTTAACCAAATGGAAGAAAACTATGGACAACACAAAAAGCAATCCTATCCACTACCAAAAACGGACATCCCCGACAAACCGGGGAAGCCATAAGGAACCGACCGGGTCAGGAGATCCTGAAGGCTCTAGACGCGGGCAGTCGCCCCAACAGCGAGGCAGGCGGCGACGCGGGCAATGTGGATGTGATCAACGTGGACTCTGACTCGTTGGAGGAGGACACTGACTTTGGGGTTCCAACTCAACAGGGCGCCTTAAATACATTTTGCCCATTTGAAACACCAAAATAAAGGGAAACCACCATTTACAAGGCAATGTTCAGGTGTATAATGTAAGGATCCCTGCTCAAGTTGACCCTTCGCCGAACAAGGCTGATTGTTCCCAAGAATGAATGGACAGCCGTGCTGGCAATGTTTGTTGAGCTCTGTCCAAATCTTGGTTGCCCGGCGGCCCTCTAGTTTTGCACGAAGTAGGTTTTAACCTTATGAACACTGACAGTTTTCCCACTGGCTACTCTCCCGCGTTGCGGAATGAGACAAACGTGAAACTGCGATCAACCCTGAGAATTGTTTGTCAAAGGTCCGTACTTTCCGCCATGGCCCCATGTTCGAACAATTCGTATCACAGTCGTATCGGCGGGTTTTATCGCGGCAAAGGTCTTCTTGGCCTGGCTAGGAGCCACATTGGGTTCGATCAAATTTAATTTGTCCATGGTCCATTCGGGGTTCGGGACATGGAAGGCTCAAAGGCTTGCTTGTAGGGGGGGGTCTCTTTGGCACAGCCTAAGAACCGGGTTAAAGGGCCAGGGAGGCTCATAGCTAAAGAGAGATACCCCGTTCGCCGCGGAAGCTCGGAGGTTTCCTGGGGTTTCCCTTCAGCGACCAATGTTCTGGGTTTATCAAGTTGCTTTTGCTCACTTAGACTTGCTATCTCTTGCGTTCGTGTTTGACACTTTACTGTTTCTGCCCCGATCGTTGGC